CCAAAATTCAATATCTCAACAGCACGCTGAATTCCGGCCATGAAAAACGACTTTTCCGAAGGGAAATCGTCCGAGAAATCGATTGTACGTGGTCCCATAGACCGGAGAGCCTTGTAGGTATGTGTTTTGGACAATTTTACCCCATTTTCCCCTACTTTTTGGAGGAAATGTTTTTTCACAGCTCTATTTTTCGTAAAACATAAGCACTTTATGCATGGGTTTAGAATACTATGTCTTTAAACAACAGTTCATGAGATATTAGGGGAATACGGGGTACACTTTATAGGGGAGTAAGGGGTAAAAGTGAAAATACAATCAATGTTTTTTTTAATACAAAATCCATTTTTTTTAAACATCATTATATTTTTTTCTGTAGAATACTTTTAATTAACTTTCATTTGGTATTTTGAGTTCCATCATCGGCCAAACAGTTCAAAAGTTATAACTTTTTGAAAAAAATCGAAAAAAAAATTTTTTTTGACCGCCCTAATATATAAATAGTCACCTTAATGACAAAATAAAAAATACGGGTCTAATATGTTGCGATACGGAACAAAACTACCAATTTTTACAAAATTCTGAGAACCACTATATCGTTCTGCTGTATACAGACAAAAAAAGTGAAAACTCTTTTAAAACAGATAGCAGTAAATTAAAACTTATTTAACCCCAATTAACCTTAAAATATCGAAAAAAAAATCTTATTATTGCAGGCAGCCTTTGGGGTCATTCAAACAATCGCATCGTTCAACATTTTTATGAATTTAAATAAATTTAGCGAGGGTTAACTTTTACCCCTTACTTTCCTATAAAGTGTACCCCGTATTCCCCTAATATCTCATGAACTGTTGTTTAAAGACATAGTATTCTAAAACCATGCATAAAGTGCTTATGTTTTACGAAAAATAGAGTTGTGAAAAAACATTTCCTCCAAAACGTAGGGGAAAATGGGGTAAAATGGTCCACAACACATACCTAAAAGGCTATCCGGTCTATAGGACCACGTGCAATCGATTCCCCGGACGATTTTCCTTCGGAAAAGTCGTTTTTCATGGCCGGAATTCAGCGTGCTGTTGAGATATTGAATTTTGGGTAATTTTGGACCCATTTTTGCCCATAGTGCAACGCTCGGTCGATGTCCTCCACGGAGTCAAGCGGCGGATTGTCGATGTTGTGCCTGTCTACCACGCGTCCAAACTGGGCCCAGTTTACGCGATGGTAGCATAGAGGTAACTCTAAGACAAGTAGGTCCCGAAGAAACGTGCTCAACTTTTTGGCTCACCTCTGGTACTATCATAGAGGTAACTCTAAGACCAGAAGGTCCCGAAATAACGTGCTCAACTTTTTGGCTCAGCTCTGGTACTCTCTTCGGTCCCAAACTAATCGATTCACCCCTCGAATCATAGGAAAAACCAATAACCCCTCATTTTATCTGTCAAACTTTCATAGCGAATCAAAACAAACATTGCGCAGTACTAGAATTTCGACTAGAATAGGGTACGTTAATCGTTTGCTTGGGACCAATAGGCTAGTCAAGTAGTGAGCCAATTTAAAATCGCTAGTTTCGTATTGATTGTTGATGGTAGTCCTTGCGCAGGCTTGGAGCAGGAGCTACGTTGTATCCCAGTTCAGCCACCACCGGTTGATGGTCGGAGCTGAGTTCGTTTAAGGCTACCGGCTTGGACAAGTCGGTATTTGAAAGAAACAGGTCTAGCGTCGATGGGTTGCCTGCCGGTGAGATGAATGTTGGCTCGTCCGAGAACCAAACGGAGTACAGCCCATGCTGCGAATGGTCGAACAGCAGACGACCGTTCTGGTTCTGCTGTTAGTTCCGCCAGGCCTCATGGCGAGCATTCAGATCTCCTTCAACAACGAAGCGGGAACCGGTACGGGTTATGGTGGACAGGTCTTTCTTGAATTTAGCAGCTAGTCCGCTGCTGGCGGCACACTGTCGAGGGCAGTAGACGGCGATGAACTGGACGTATCCAGTCGACGACTCCACCTCCACACCAAGGGCCTCGATGATAGAGGTGCGGATATGGGACAGAGTGTGGTATTTTATTCCTTTCTTGACGACGACCGCAACACCACCCCCCCCTGGAGCTGGTGCGATCAAGCCGAATAATGTTGTGATCAGGCAACCAGAAGCTGTCGCCGGACTTTAGATGGGTCTCGGTAAGAAGGCCCACGTCCATGCTGTGCTTGCGGAGGAAGTCGGCAAGCTCAATCTCTTTTGCTCTTACAGTGCAAGCATTCCAGGTGACGATAGTTAGCGGTTTAGACGCCATACTGGATGATGAACTTACCGAGCACCTGAATCTGTTCGGGCTTATTGCGGCACTTACGAAGAGCACCGGACATGTTGATGAAAATTTCCATCAGTTCATCCGCTGAGAACAGATCGGGGTTGTTGTTTTGCGCTGTTGGTTGTCTCCAGAATCCAGGGGGGATGGAGAGCTTTGGCCAGCAGAATCACCTGAAGCTTTTTGAGGGGGGGCGGGTTGCACCCGCGAATTCGCTTGCCTTTGCTAGGGAGCACGAAGAGGCGGAAAATCCTCCGTCCTGAACGCTGGGGTTTTGTCCTTCTTGCGTCCTGGTTGATTGTTGCTTGACGCCTGCTTTCGGATGCGTTTGAAGTCCTCGCGTTTGAAGCACTGTCTGTCGGATCCTTGATGTGCACCACCAGTTAGCGCATTTTATCGCCACGGCTCCATCCGCAGGGCAGTTAGAAGTGGCGTGTTCTTGAGCGCAGTTGCTGCAGCGTGGCTTGATGTTGCAGTTGCGGGTACCGTGTCCAAAATTGAGGCACCTCTGACACTGCGTTACGTCACGATGGCCGCCACGGTATGGCTCCCACCGTACGATGATGGAGTAGATCGACCGGATGGCTTGTAGCGCATTGAGCGTCACCGTCCCTTTCTGGAAGTGCACCAGGAAAAGACAATCCGGGTACGTCTTCACGTTTTCGTCTCTCCTTGTCATTCGGAAGACAGCGATTGGGGCAAGCTTGTACCGGTTGATTTCAGCTTCGACCATCTTGGGGTCGAAGTTTGGTAGACCCCTGATGACTACCTTGAAGGGCTTCTCACCGGGGATGTCGTGCGTGAAGAATTCCGCCTTGGTATCCTTCAGATATTTCACGGCCACTTCGTACTCCGCTTTTGTTCGGAGCATCTTGGTGCCGATCCTGCCGAGCTTAAACTCAGCTGCAATGCCTAGCGATGAAAGATCGCCAATCAGCGTGTTGCCTGGGACTTGCTTCACCACCAGTGGAGGAAGCTTCATTTTTGCTGCTCTCGGACTGGCAGCAGTTTCGTTGTCGACGGCGTCGCCGAAATCACCAATGACGCTGACGTTCGTCGCGGTGGCATCAACAATCAATACGAAACTAACGATTTTAAATTGGCTCACCACTTTAGTAGCCTATTGGTCCCAAGCAAACGATTAACGTACCCTATTCTAGTTGAAATTCTATTACTACACTATGTTTGTTTTGATTCGCTATGAAAGTTTGACAGATAACATCAGGGGTGTGTGGATTCATGCAGAACATGCAGGGGTGAGTGAAATAGCTTGGGACTGCTTGGGACCGTTGTTGTGGTACTGAGTGAGCCAAAAATAATAATGATTTTCTTCGGGACCCAGTGGTCTTAGAGTTACCTCTATGGAATCATCATGAGCTAATGCCATACAGCAGCGCTCTTTTATATCTTTTCAGGTTAAAGCAGAATGATGTGCAACCAAGTGGTACTCGATTATGAGGACTGCCCTAATAAAAAATAACCATAAACGAACGATAACCCAAATCATTGAACTATTCCATAAATGGTTTGGATGATACCCAGAACACGTCGTTAAGCAAATTAACCATACAATTTTTATTAGGGTGGGTTTGGGAAGAACGTTTATTTCATGAAAACAGTGATAAAATTACCACTTTTTATTTGTACGTTGGACAATGCTTGACATTACCACTTTTTCAATAGCTTCACGTTGAAAATCATCAGTCGGAAATAATGCTCTAGATGCGTAGAAAGATTTCTGATCGATTGGTGATAAAATTATTGAAATGGGTCTTTCGTAATATTGTTTCATGTTCCATTTTCGATTTTCACAAAGTGTAACCCCAGTATAGAAATGAAAGACGTAGTCCTACGTCAAAAAATCGTAAACAACTTTTGACGAGATTTAATTTGCGTTACAGTGCTGATTTATGAACGCAATGTTATGAGCTTACAATAGAGTGTACAAACTCCTATAAATATCCACTATTCGGCATATATAAAACGTACAATAATTGTTAAAGTAGCACTCTTGCTCCAGCAGACCCTATATGTTTTGTTAAGTAAACATTTTAATGGAATAAACAATAAAAATAAAAGCTGTTACTGGCATGCTTAAGAATAGTAAGTTTGACATTAATATGTTTCACTTCATTTAAGAGTTTAATAGACGTGTGGCATTTCTGCCACATAAAAGTGGCACTCTTACCCCGTAGCATTTTTTAGAACATGACCTTTTGGAAAAAAAAAACAACATTACATTTTTTGATGGAGTTTAATTTTAAATGCAATGATGATATATGAAGACAATGTTGTAAACTTACAATTCAGTTGCAAAACTCCTATAAATATTCACGAAATCGCATATATCAACACACTACAGGGTGACCTTCTTGCCCCTACTTCCCCTATCTGAATTGAAAAATCGGCGATGTGATATTCATTCTCACAAGAAGAAAGGGTTCGCAAAATGCAATAACATGTTTTAATTACCTTACTGATATTTACATACTATATAATAGAAAAAAGAAACTACAAAAATGTACGCACATACTGTTTGGCCCAGTACGCAATTATGTATAATGCTCAGAAAATATATGTACTCAAAAATATATGCATATATAAGTATTGAATACGCTTATCACTTGTAAGTTACTTAAATGCTTAATGCTTAATTCGGTGTCTTATTCACCATTGTTGTAGACGTCGTTTACCATATTTTTCGACTATTTTTTTTTTTAGCGATTTCTAATGCTTGTAATACATTGTATTCACCTATATTCTCGTTTTCGTTCGAACCGTAACGGAAAACGGTTCGAAAGAAAACGAGAATATGGCTGATTATCACACATATTCTGTATTCCGTTCGAAACGGATTTCCCATACATTTGTTTTATTCTGTACGGGAAATCCGTTTCGAACGGAATACAGAATAGGGGTGTATGTTTTGCAACGTAACCACAAATTTCTAACCTTATATGATTTCGCTCTATTCAGTAATATTTAACTCTCATTCTACCCAATTGGAAATGTCTTTTTTTTTCTTCTGTTCAAAAAGCGCTTGAAGTGGTTTTACAATACACAATTTTATATTAGTTTGTCGATTTTAGGCACCGTAATAATGTAAACCGTTGTGGCTGTTTAGTTGCATAGTAAAGTGTAAACACACACTCAGGTTCGTTCGACTTCGGTTTTCGACTATTTTTGTTGTAATATTTGTTTTATGATAGGCCTTTTTTTTCCTGTTCGGAATACTGCTTGATTTTCATGAAAAAAAAATGCACCCGGTTTTGTGCTTTATTCGAATGATATCTAATAGTGAAAGCAAAAGCATTCTACCTATACGAATTTGTTGATTGCGTTTCAGTTTTGGTATTCATTAGGTATGTCTGCAATCGAGTGCTGATGTGCGTTTTTGATATAAAAGAAGATACAATTAAAAATGAAGCATGAAACAATATGGAACATAAAACAAAATATTGAAATTTTATTGTTTCGTCGACTTGGTTCAAGTGGATCGTTTGAATTTAAAAAATATAAAATATCGCTTTCTGCAGTAAAGCTAATAAATACCAAAAACAAATGACAATTTAGATATCGTATTCTAAAATGAACCCAGTGTTAAAATGCTTTATTTCTATAATTATAAGCAGACTCGATCTCACTGCACGTACACCTATGTACCTCGAGCTAGTTCCTACGCCGGTCCCAGCAACTCCGAGAGCATCTCCCGACTGGAGAATACATTGGCTGTGATTCCCGTTCGCGATCGGCTTCGGTTTAGTTGCGCCCTCCGCTCCGCTCCCGCAGGCCGTGGCCCCCGTCGTCGTCGTTGATCCCGATTACCGAACGCCGATCCCGTCTGCAGTGCCTCCAGCAAACTGTCCATGACACCTTCCTGCGTCTGAGCGGCATCGATGTCGACCAAGGCCAACTTTCGTTGCTGCCGTTCCTGTATCTCCCGTTGGGAACGTTCCTTGGCTTCCTGTGTACGACGTCTCTTCTCCACTTCGTCTCGAATTTTGATAATTTCTGAATGGGCCTGGACGAAGGAATCCTTAAACGTTCGAATATCGGTAAAGAACTCCTCCATGGTGTATTTGGCTGGATCGAAACAGTAGTACTCGGAGAGACTCTGGAAGAGGGTTTCCATTTGGGATAGCATCCGCCCTAGCACTTCCACCTGTGCTCGGCACTCGACGGAGAATTGACCCATCACTTCCATAAATCGATCATCGTCGCTTTGAGGGATTTTGTTGTTGTTCAGATCGGATTCTAGATTTTTCAACGAATTGTTCATCTGCCGCATCGTCTTCTGAATGTTGTCTAAACTGACCCGAGAGGCTTTGTCCACGTGGGAAAGGTCTTCGTGAAACGTAAGCGCTTCAGGGAACTTCTTTTCCACAACATCCGCAATGTAGTGCAGCAAGGTTTGCTTGTTCTCATAGTCTTTCGTACTGCTCAGCTTAGGCAGAAAACTTATTTCGAATCCGAAAGCAGCTTCCTTTTTGGACCCGGAATTCATGTAGTTCCCTAACAGTAGAATCAATTCGAGCACCTTCGCGAATTTCTTACTGTTTTTGACCTCTTCACAGGCAGCCGTTCCCGCAACGATGTCCGGTTTACAGTCCTGCATCAAATCAGGCATGTTCAGCTTGAAGTTCAAACTCTGCAATCGTGCTCCCAGTCGTTTAATGTCTCCTATCGTGGCTGCAAAGGCTTCCGGTCCTGCCAGCGCTTCCCCACGGGCCCGTATCTCCTGCAACCGCTTCAGCTGATCCGGCGGAGGTAAGTACTGTATCAGCTGCTGTAGTACACTTGGCCCTAGAATCGTGGTGTCGCAACGAAGAAGGCACGTTCGGATTTGTTCGTGGGACAGGTGCTTCAGGGAACCACCCAATAGGATCGATAAGTTTTGGGCTGCCTTACCATCCAGTACACGGAGATCAACATTCTTTTTCGAGGAAGGTGGTCGATCTACCGAATCCTTATCCATTTGCTTCATCGGTTTGGAGGAAAATTTCATTGCCAGACCAGAAAGGATTTCGTCGTCCGCCAACTTGTCCTCCTGCACCTTAACCCAAAACGAATGCTCGGAAAGTTTTTGCGGGATGATAGCTTTCCAATTTGCTCTTTTCATAGGCCCTTCGGTGTCCCATTTCTTCTTCGGTTTCAAGCCATGTGGTAATGGAACAACCATCGGTACCATCGGTCGCATTCCTAGCATCCCTGGAGGCATTGGAGGTCCCATCCCGGGCATTGGAGGTGGCGGTGGACCCATTCCCGGCATTGGAGGAGGTCTAGGAGCTCCAATCATTCCCGGCATAGGTGGTGGTTGTGGAACACCAGGCATCATTGGTGGTGGGGGAGGTGGTGCTGCTCCTCCACCACTTCCCGGTGGTGGTGGCGGTGGAGGAGGTCCCATGCCGGGCATCTGCGGTGGAGGAGGTATATTTATCTGAGGTAGTTTACTCTTCCCCTTAGGAGATATGACTCCCGTGGCTTCTATCTCTTTCAAGCGATCTTCCAACGCTGCAACCCTTGCTTCTGCTTCTTGCTTCGCCGTCTGCAATTCTTCCATTCGTTTTTCCAAATCTTCACTCTTCTTAGACTCCAACTGTTTGCTTTTCTCTGCCATATCTTCCAGCAACGTAGATGTATCTATGTGAAAATCTCGACTCTCAAAATTCGGATCGCACATACCTTTATACAGCACAATTTGCGATACACATTCCTCTATCAATTTGAAGTAAGCGGGTCTATAAACGTAATCGTCCCTTACGAACAACATATGCTGTAGAATTGACAAAAAGTATGGCTCACAGCTCGTATCCACCACCAGGTTTTTCAACAACTCGAAGCACTCATTCATGTCATCCAGATCCAGTCGCACGTTATCGAACCTATTGCTAAATTCCTCAAAGTCATCCTCCCGAAAAGCATTGAATATCTTGAAATGCTTCTCCAGATTCTCGTTGTTACTCTTTTCCACAATCTGATTCAGCTGATCCAGTCGATCGTGCAGCCCAGCTCGCATCATTTCGCACCTCAGGTGCAACCGGAAGTTAATGTCCGACGGTGTATTTATAATACAATTGATAAAGATCATCGTATTACACGCTAGTTCATAGTTCCTATCATGCTCCAGAAACAACCCCTCCACGATCGGCTTAAAACGGTCCCCTCCCGGTCTAGCCATCATGGTACAATTGGTGATGGCTTTCAGCACCTTCTCGTACCCGTTCCGTTCCTTGACCAAGCAAATGGCCGCCAGCAGTTTGACCGCCTCGCACATCGTATGCGGCTTGCTGGCATCCACACTCTGAGCCAGTAGCATGACCGCTGCGTGCTGATCCGGCGTCAGGATAACATTCAACCCCCAAGAGTTGTTCATGATGGCCTTCAGGCATCGTAGGCATTCGAATTCGATCTTATCCAGACGCCGAGGTATCGATTTGCAGTACCGGAGCAGGTTGACAAGCTCGTCGATTCCGGTCTCGCCAAACTCCTTGATCCAGCTGATGGGATTGCTGGTCAGCGCTACCCGGAGACTTTCCACACATTGTTGGATCTTGGGGATCCGGCTGGTAACGTCCCCGTCCCGGAGATACTGAATGTAGTCGATGGGCTTTTCGAAGCGCGAGTTGGCACGGTGCTCGGTGTTGGTTTTGCCTGGAACGGAAGAAGAATACGGCGAATGAAATAATCTTTTAATTTATGTCAATTTTTGGGATATTGTAATACACCGAATCAGATATACATAGCTGGCCCCAAAAAACGCTAAGGTTTCTTTATTCATTCTTACTGTTGTTATTACTATATCTTGCTTGTTTTCTATATTAGTTATGTTTTCTTGTTTTCATACCTTAAGTTATGTGTTATGGTATTGTGGTTGTTGTTCTCTTTTCTGTTTAAGACTTAGGCTGATGCAGATTTTATATTTATTTAAAGTCACCTACCTTCAAAAAATAATTAATCATTTTGTCAAGCTTCTGCATTCATTTTCCATCAGATATCACTGTTGTTGTTGGCTGTGACATCTATCGGAAACAACACATATTTTTTCCATTAATTATTCACAGAGGACAGTGCAGTGCAAAACATGTCTGGTACCTCTATATATGCATTTAGATTAACATCCGAAGTCCCACATTTTTTACACATTATGCACACAAAATAGCTAACCCCATGACAGGAGCACATGATATATACGATTGGGACGCTGATGTCTACCGTATTGAAGCTCCTGTCCTTGATGAAGGCTCGTTACGATTGACAGAATTCATCCGGGAAGAAGACGGCCAACGTTTTGCCATCTTTGGATCCCTTAATCGCCTCCAGCAGCTTTTCAAAATTGATCTAGTCTTAGTCGTTCTTTTCCCGAACCAACAGCTTCACCGCCGGAATGCCCTCCTCACCGCTTCAGAAAATCGACCTTCTTCTGCTGGTCAGGAAAAAGATTGACTTTTTGCACAGCACCGTAATCATATCGGTAAGCTCGTATCCCAGCAGTCAGGTCTTCAGCGAGGTTGATTTGTTGTTGATGGTTTCATCGTCTACGCCGACCATCTATCGACATAATTTTACACTTTACTTAACGTATATTACTGGAAATTGATAGTACTATGTATATATGGTGTAAATACACCATATACGCCCTCAGGGAAACTCTACTGGCCTAAAGGAGGATCCAGAACGACCGATAAAGTGACCACATTATGAAAAAAAATCATAGAACCTTGCGATTTTTTCTATGTTTGTTCAGAATCATGAGACTCCGGTCAATGAGAACACAACCAATTGATTCAGCAGAAAATATGTATAACATGTTGACTGAAACCGTTTGGCAACCGAGATATTCAATTTAGTCCCGGTTTTATAATTTTTTGCCCACTGTGCAGCGGTACACTGAGAAAAATGTTCACCCTAGATCGGTGTGTGGAGTGACCTACCCCTTACAAAAAGGTCTATATAGTTGCCACTGCCTTATAAAGGATTAAACGTCAAAATTCTCTATAGAAGCACAACACCTTCGAATTAACCATTTTGTCAAGGTTCCGGATTTATTTTCCATCAGATGTCAAATGTAATAAACACCGGTAATTGTTTACAGAGGACAGTGCAGAGCAAAACACTTTTTTTTACTTTAAATGATCTTTATTCATGTACTTCAAGCATAACTTTTCAAAAGGACGTAAGTCGCAAAAATAAACAATTCGATATTTTGCATCTAACCGAATATAAAATACATGCTTTTCCTACGAGTTAATGAAAAACAAGGTTTGAAATTATAATGCATTATGGAAAATATATTTAATGGACGCCCTATGTGACCTTCTTTCATTGTTTTTAAAATGGTGTTGATACTCCCTTATATTGTCAACATGACTTAACTGTTAAAATTTGATTATAACACAAAAACTGCAGATACGCTCACAGTGAAGCGTCGTATGTGAAAAACAAAGTAACCACTATCAATCAGCAAATGCGTCAAGTTTGTATGTTTGTTTTTGTATTTCCGGGAACAACATGTTTTTTATTTCAAAAGTATTGTAATAAAATTGCACTTTAATCTTGACTTTAATATTGAACTTCATATAACAATCTGACCAGCGCTTTCTTAATACGAAAAACACAAAACGTATAACATCTGACAGCAGATAATGCGGTGACCTTCTCATCTCCGCTTTCAACATCGATTATTTCACAACTCTGGGTAGTTATGTAAATAAACCAACCAACCGACAATTCCTGAATGCTTTTCGAGCTGCCGACGTATCTTCACTGAAAAACAAAAACCGGTGTATCTGATTTGACGTATGTGAAAACCTTCTGTCAAATAGACGAATCATGCAGGGTGTATGTAACAATCAAGGTGTGATACCGACGAATCAATCAGGGTGTATGTGAGTAGTACACAAGTAAAAGGTGTATGGTTTTGTTTTATCAAAAGTATTGTCCGTTTTTGCAAAACTCGACATTTTTCACAATTCTCTTAAACGCAATCCCTTTATCCAACTAATAGCACAAACAGATTTAAAAAAAATAGCATTAACTTTTAAATAGCATTTAATAATCTCTTATAGACATTGCTATCCAATGTTTCTAATTTCCTATCCAATGTTACATACGTCCTTTTGAAAAGTTATGCTTGACTTGTGTTGTTAACATGTATTAATTATCAAATGACACAGATGCGTCTTTTCAACTTTAGTTCCTTTGAAATTTAAATTATTATTAATTACAGTTCCTAGTCTTATCAGGCCAGTTTAAGAGAATGACCACCTTGGTGGGATTGGTTTGCTTTAAATTGAAAAAGAAGACTACTTATAACAACTATTTTTAACTAAAACTACTATATACACCTAATCTACTATATAAAAATTGCTTATCAAAGCATGTCCTGATAAATTACATTTTTGAGCAAATTTAGTCTTAATTTCGTTAATTCTGGAATCTATTTTGGCAATGCCTGCCTCTTCGTGTAAATTTGTTATTTTAGTGTCGAAAGGACGATCAAGAACCATCCTCAGCACTCTATTCTGAGCGACCTGGATTTTCTTCCTGTCAGTCTGTGCACATGATTCCACACCGGAGCTGCGTAGAGGATCGCAGGTGCTATGATTTGTTTGTAGACAGCCAGTTTGTTTACCCTTGAGAGACGGGATCTGCGGCAAATCAGCGGATACAGACACCTAACCAAGGTAGAACACTTGACTACAGTTTTCTCTACATGCGAACGGAAGAGGAGCTTTCCATCGAACAACATCCCGAGATAGGTTACTGCGGCGGACCACTCAACCCTTGTGCCATCCATGATTACAGTACAAGAGAGAGCCGATTTCAGTTTGGGCGATTACCGATGGAGGAACATGATTGTTTGTGTTTTGGAAGCATTGATTTTGATTTTCCACGTGGTGGCATAATCAGCAAAGGCGTTAAGGCATCGTTGAAGTTTGTTCGTTATTTCTGGAGGCATCCTTCCTTTGACGGCTATTGCGGTATCATTCATCTGCGAACAGGTAAAACACGTATCCGTCTCCGAGGGGAGGAATGTCGGAAGTGTAAATACTGTATAGCAAGGGGTCCAGTAGACTTTCTTGCGGGACTCCTGCTGGGTTGGAAAACGTGTCTGAAAGACAACAATTCAACGATACCTTAAACGACCTTTGCTGAAGGTAGTTACGGGTGATTTTAACCAGATGTAACGGGAAGTTGAAGTTACAAAGCTTGTACACAAGTCCGTCATGCCAAACATTGTCAAACGTTTTTTTGACGTCTAACAAGGCCATGGCTGTGGACTTGGTTACAGCTTTGTTTCCACAGGTTCTGACTAAGCCACCACAAGTTGTAGCCAAAAAAGGGCAACATCAGGTAGGTGGCATTTCATCCAGCGAAAGAGGCGTAAATACTAGTCATGGCCATGTCGGCATCGGGAGAATATTTACCGCCAATGTTCTTATTTGCGAGGCAACGAAGGGTCGGTATTTGCGTGCAACCCTAGTGGTTGGAGTTCGATCACCACCTGTTCGGAATGGTTTGACCATTTCTTGTCATATACTAGGCCAACTTCTGATTCACCAGTTCTGCTAGTTCTGGATGGACATTCAACTCACACCAGGAACTTGCCGATGCTGGAAAAGGCTAGAGAAAACTTCGTTAGAATCGTTTCCATTCCGCCACACACATCGCACAAGATTCAACCATTAGATGTCGCATTGATGGGCCCGTTAAAGTCGCACTACTCAACGGCGATCGAAAATTTCATGAAGAAAAATGCAGGTTAGTAATTTGAGCTTATATCACTTTGATGTATACACTTACTGATGTATTGTACTCCTACTTTTCAGGAAAGGCAATTACTCCTTACAACATATGTGCACTGGTAAACTACGCTTTCGTAAAATCTGCTACCATGTCGACTGCTCCATCAATATTCACCGACACCGATTTTGCAGCAGAAGATTTCTTGATCCGTTCGAGCACGAAAGATTCTTCTCATGATACTGAAGAGGAATTGAACGCACATTATGATACCAGTGATGTTCCAGCAGATATTGAGCTAAACGTTGTTGATTCTAACGTGGACGTGTCAGCTGATACTTTTACCATTGATCACATAGATGAAAACGAATACTACGTTAGTCGAAGCAATGGAGATATTATCATTGGCCCAGTCTCCAATCAGTATTCCATCATCATGAATTCAGATCAGGTGGAGCAAAACACGACATTTTTTGAAACGGATGTGTTCGGTGAACCTTCTATGGAGCCAACCCACCCTGAAAGTGCAGTGCTCATCGGAGGTCAGCATGATGAAGGCTGACTACGAAACACTTACTAAATCAACAGAACTAATGAAAGAACAGGAGAACATCCCGCCTCTACCCGCAAGCGTGCAAGCACTGTCAGGAATGGCTCCATTCAGCATGTTCTGCAAACTTGGAAGCTTGTGGCACTTGCAAATAGGTTGACAACTACTCTGCTGAATTAATACATGTGACCCGGCCACTATTTTTTTTTGATGTTATTTTTTTACTATTTGATGTTGCAATAAATGAATTTGATATTGAACTGTTCATGATGAAGTTGTAGAGTCCCATTTATAATTTAAACTGCATAAATAGCAGAGGCGTCGCGTGCCTCATTTGTTTACCTGTGCACCAAACATT